TCTTCCCCCTTTTGCACCTGGGATCATACAGTAGGTTTATCTAAGATCTGTTGGTCCTGCATTTAAAACCATTGTCACGGTCATTTTACTGAATATCTTTGTGACTGTTATATGCTATACTCTGCAAGTTGGGGAATATCCACAGCTAGCATCTTTTTGTCTCCTATTGACTTAATAATCTCTAGCAAAATATTATCTTGTAAAACTATTATTTTGAGAGTCTCTTGCACTTGTGTTTGCAGTGTTCTTATTGATCCAGGTTTGTCAGGGGGAACCCAAAACCATCAGCGGCTGCTTAGGGGGTAGCACTGCCCCTATCTTGTGACCACAACTGAAACGTTTTGTGTTCCAGCATGATTGTTTACCTTTGAACAATGCAAGCTCTATGCATACAAGTTTGATATCAAGAAACACAAGTGGTCTAAACAAGGTTATGACCTTAACACTACTTAACACCTTTGGGATGAGCTGGAACATTTAGGCTCCATGTACACGGGGCATTTGGAAAACACTTCTGAACCATGGAAATGACTGCTGGAAAACATAGGTTAAAAAACGTCTGTTTAACTTCGTTTGCATACTGCGTTTAGAAGCGTTTGAGTTTAGAAGTGTTTTTTAAAGATACCTCAGGAGACCTTCCAAAATACCCAGAATGCCCTGAAAAAACAGTAAAAAATTAACTATTTCAGACATTTTGAGAGAAATAGAGAGAGCAGAAGTAGAGAGAGCAGTATTTGTTGAGATTAGCTGTCTTTTCTTTTTTGTGGTGTTTGGATGTGTTCCAGCTCATTTCTGTGAAGAAATTATTGCAGCAGTGTCTAACATATTTTCTTTCATGCGAAACCTCAAGGTATGGTGTACCAGGTCCATTTGAGTACCGAGAAAACGCTTTGCATGCATTTTCATGCATTTTTCATTATGAAAAAAGGCTCTAGATAGCATCTGGAAATGGAAGAGTTAAAAAAAGTTTCCAAACGCAAATGCTTATTAACACGGTTAGCCACGTGTACACGTGTTTACAAGCGTTTCCAAACATTTGGCATTTGAAACGCTGATAAAATCTACTCCTGAACGCAAGTTTGTTACGTTAAAAAAAACTACTGTAACTCAACTGCCTATAAACGACAAAGTGCACATGGACACACAGGAAAACATTAGGGAGAGTTCAGGGACTGCTGAAAAAGTGCAGAAAAGCTCCTAAACATGAGTTTATCAGCTGCAGTGTACATGGAGCCTACAAGTCAGGTTTTATTGTCCAATATTAGTGCCTGACCCCACACTATTCCTCCCCCTGACACCGACAATGGGGCACTATTCCACACCAGATGAAGTCATGTGATGAAACGCCTTAGGGCGTGGTTAACCAGTGACGTCACCATGCATGCCATACACGTGTTCGGACCACGTGACCGCAACAATGCCATCTTTGTTGCAGGCAGGCTGGTCAGGTTACTACCTTTTGTACCACTAGCCCCTCCCTCCTAGATTGAAAGCTCTAAGGAGCAGGGCCCTCAAATCCCTCTTGTATTGAACTGTATTGTTACTTGTATTGTCTCCCGTTATATTGTAAACTGTTAGCGCTATATAAATCCTGTATCATAATAATAATAATATAATAAATATCATGTCCAGTTTGGTTCAACCAAATGTGGCGAGCCAAACCCTAGGCTTGCAGTTTGTGATGCCGTATTTCTATTCAAAAATCCCATTTGGCTGTCAAAAAGTATCATCTTCTGAATGACCGTTAGACACTCCACCGCAGATAATTTTTTAGGGACCAATACAAGTGTGCATGAGCCCTAAGGGTGGCATTATAACCACTGCTGTAAGGAGGGTATCCTTCCCACCGACTACCAATGTAAGAAGCATTTTTCCAATTGCCACTGAATGGATTAACTTTAGCATGGTTTCCCTGAAGCCTGAAAATTATTTCAGTGGTTTCTCTAGGGAAGAAACCAGAGTTCCACTTTAAATGACTGAACATCTCACAGACAGAAGGCACTTCCTAAATTCTTTGTGCCATAGCAGAGGGTACGTTTTTTGTCTCATTCACAGACCTTCATCGTGCCTAAAACAGCTGTATTTATGTTTTGTTTTCTGCTATTTGGTGTTTCCTATCCACCTCACATTAAAGCTCTTTTCTAATTTAAGAAGAAAATCTACATGTTTATTTGCATTAATCTGTCTGAAAATGATGAGTGCATTCAAGCCAAAGATTTGATTACACAAATGGAAACATTCATTAAAAGACATAATCCATGTATTTAGGTTAACATGAGTTATCCTTGTATAACCTATGCATTGTAATAAGCAGCTCAGACTCTTTCCTAATGAGGCATTCTTACTTACCCTGAGACTGAGGCCTGGATCCAGAAAATAACTTCAAGTTAGGACAAACTACTTCTCTTATTTAATTATGCCAAAAATGCTATTAAAGCTGCATGAAAGTAACAAAATTCACAGATGAAAATCAATAACTCTGTTGTCCTCCTTAGGGACATTGTGTAGGACAACAGATAAGGGAAAATCATCATGTAGGACAACAGATAAGGGAAAATCATCATGTAGGACAACAGATAAGGGAAAATCATCATGTAGGACAACAGATAAGGGAAAATCATCATGTAGGATAACAGATAAGGGAAAATCATCTTGTAGGACAACAGATAAGGGAAAATCATCATGTAGGACAACAGATAAGGGAAAATCATCATGTGGGACAACAGATAAGGGAAAATCATCATGTAGGAACACAGATAAGGGAAAATCATCATGTGGGATAACAGATAAGGGAAAATCATCATGTAGGACAACAGATAAGGGAAAATCATCATGTAGGACAACAGATAAGGGAAAATCATCATGTAGGATAACAGATAAGGGAAAATCATCATGTAGGACAACAGATAAGGGAAAATCATCATGTAGGACAACAGATAAGGGAAAATCATCATGTAGGATAACAGATAAGGGAAAATCATCATGTAGGATAACAGATAAGGGAAAATCATCTTGTAGGACAACAGATAAGGGAAAATCATCATGTAGGACAACAGATAAGGGAAAATCATCTTGTAGGACAACAGATAAGGGAAAATCATCATGTAGGACAACAGATAAGGGAAAATCATCATGTAGGACAACAGATAAGGGAAAATCTTCCTGTAGGACAACAGATAAGGGAAAATAATCTTATAGGATAACAGATAAGGGAAAATCATTATGTAGGATAACAGATAAGGGAAAATCATCATGTAGGACAACAGATAAGGGAAAATCATCATGTAGGACAACAGATAAGGGAAAATCATCATGTAGGACAACAGATAAGGGAAAATCTTCATGTAGGACAACAGATAAGGGAAAATCTTCATGTAGGACAACAGATAAGGGAAAAAAGGAACTCCTATATTTATGTATTCATGAAATATACATAAACATAAGAGTTCCTTTTTTCCCTTATCTGTTGTCCTACATGATGTCCCTGAGGAGAGTAACAGAGTTTGTGATTTGATTTTATACAATATATATATTTCATATTTTTCATTCTCATTTTTTCATTTTTTTTTCCACACATATTTCATAAATCAATAAAAATTATTTTCACATCAATCACTTCACAATTTTCCTTTTTTTTCTTTGTCGCATACATCCCACTATAATTTTTCATTACTTCTCTAGCATACAGTATTTACATTTTTGTTTCATTTTTTTCTGTTTTTTTATTTTTTTTCCCTTATCAACTTTATTTTTTTTATTGTTTTCATTTTTAATCATACATTTCTCTTCATTATATATTTTTTGTTTACTTTTGTGTCATTTTTTCTTTTTTGTTTATTATCATTTTTTCCATTCCCCGTTTTATACTCATTCTCACTCTTTATTCATTTCATTCTCTCATCTTATTTTTTTCTTAAAGTGTCACTAAACCCACTTAATAAAAATTCTGTATATGCTGTTCATACTCACTCAGTCAGTCACTATGAAATTCGTTTTATGTTCTTGTCAGGACAAATTGGGCTTTCATTTGGTGGTAAACAGTAATGAATATCTCCTGAATTTATTTAATTATCAGAAAACTGATTCAAAATAATTTTTTTAGCTTTTTTTTAGAATTTAGCTGTATATTTCTTGCTATTACCATAATCTACCACAAAAAACGACGGAAAATAAATTATCCTGCTCCCAACGTTTTCAGCGATACCACAAACTGTATGTGTATGTTATTTGTTGTTTGTACTTGTGGTAGGGCCCAGAAACAGTAGTGCAGCCCCAAAATTACCCATCAGTTCCCAACAGTGCTGCCCATCAGTGCCCAACAGTGCTGGCCATCAGTGCTGCCAATCTGCGCGCATCAGTGCAGTCAATCTGTGCTGCAAGTGCTGCCAATCAGTGCCCATCAGTGTCACAAGTCAGTGCCTCCAGTCAAATACCCTTCAGTGCTGCCTATTAGTGCCTATCAGTGCCACCTATCAGTGCCCATCATTGCCACTTATCAGTGCAGCCTCATCAGTGCCTCTTCATCAATTCAGCCTATCAGTTGCCATCAGTGCGCCTATCAGTGCCGCCTTATCAGTGACCATCAGTGCTACCTATCAGTGCAACCTCATCAATTCACATCAGTGAAGGTGAAAAATTACCTGTTTGTACAGGTGCATGGTCGCGCAATTATCATTTAACCGCTTGCCTACAGAGCACTTATACTCCCTTCCTGCTCAGGACAATTTCCAGCTCTCAGCGCTGTCACACTTTGAATGACAATTGCGCGGTCATGCAACACTGTACCTATATTAAATTTTTATCATTTTTTATGACAGATAGAGCTTTATTATGGTGGTATTTAATCACCTCTGGGTTTTTTATTTTTTCTTAAACAAACCAAAAACCACTGAAAATTTTGAAAAAAAAAATGTTTTTCTTAGTTTTTTGTTATAAAACTTTGTAAATAAGTGATTTTTCTCCTTCACTGATGTGCGCTAATGAGGCGGTAGTGATGGGCACTGATAAGCTTCACTGATGGACACTGATAGGTGGAACTGATGGGCACTGATGAGGAGGCACTGGTAGGTGGCACTGATGGGCATTGACAGGCATCACTGATGGGCACTGAAAGGCAGCACTGATAGGCGGCACTGATAGGCGGCACTGACTGGCACTGATAGGTGGCACTGACTGGCACTGATAGGTGGCACTGACTGGCACTGTTAGGTGGCACTGGCTAGCACTGATAGGCGACATTGACTGGCACTGATAGGTGGCACTGATTGGCAGCACTGATAGGTGGCACTGATTGGCATTGATAGGTGGCACTGATTGGCACTGATGGGTGACACTGAAGGGCAGCTCAGATGGGCACTGATATGTGGCATTGATGTGCACTGGTAGGCACTGATATGTGGCATTGATGTGGCACTGATGGGCACTGGCACGTGGCACTGTTCAGCACTGACAGCTGGCACTCATGGACACTGACAGGTGGCACTTCTGGGCCTACACAGATCATAAGGGCACGCTGATCATCAGTGCCCTGATGATCTGTGTACATGTCCCCTCCGCGGAACGCCAATTACCGGCTCTCCTCTCGAGCTGTCAGCGTGACAGCTCGAGATGAGAGAAATGCCAATAACCGGCATTTCCATGTTTACATGTGATCAGCTGTGATTGGACACAGCTGATCACATGACTGAGCCAACATCTTCAGCTCTTTCCGTGGATCGGTGATCCGCTGTGTCCGAGGGACACAGAGCACTGCCAATCGCCACGCTGCACGCTTCCTGAGCCGCGCATGCATGGTGAACAAGAGAACCATGGAGAACCACCTTGCGCCCGTCATTGGACTATATGGCGGGCGGGAGGTGGTTAAAGTTCGACAGCACTGAAAGCTGAAAATCGGCCTGGGCAGGACCGGGGTAAAAGTGCCCGGTAGGCAAGTGGTTAAAGTACTCATGACTGTATGGGAATATGTTAATGAATTAAATAAATGTGATCTTTAGTTATATTTTGTAATTTTTCTGCAAAGGATACCAAACACAGATAACTGAATACATTTTTACCAACAATAAACATGTTTTGTAAACCCATCACAGTAGAGGTCTATACTCTGTTCTCAGGTTCTTTATTGGATGTACAGTAATGTCCATTAAACTCCTATTTTAATTTTGGAAAAAGTTGGAAGCCACAGGTTACCAATTCTGTATTGTATGTTGGATTGCTCACACAGATATCACTCTATACAGATTGTACTATATACACCACAATACCTATTGCTGTCAGGAAGTCAATCACAGCTCAATATATATATCCTGATATAGACATGAGCATTTTTTTTCATGCATGTAAATCTTACATGTTCAGTTTTGAAGTGCTTCAAAGATAATTTCTCCTTATAAAGAACTGCTGGCATTCCTAATTTGATATTTCCCCATTAATTTGTTCAGGGGAATCTTCCCCTTCACATAAAAAAATAAATAAATTAGAGAGCCCCCTGCAATTCTCACACTGCCGTGGACAATACTCTCCAATATTCTTATGGATAATATGTGGATTTGAAATTCCATTGATATGGATTCTTAGATGGTTGGTTTCTCCATTCTTTTTTTTTGAACCATGCATAATATATACTTTGAGCAGTCTGAGTCTATGGAGATCATTGCCAGTAAGAATATTCCCATCTAAACCTATGTCTCCTTGTTTGTCTAATTAAATTCTTATGTTATTCCTTGCAGTACATAGTTGCTGTAGTTGTGGGTTTATAGGTTAAGTCATCACCCTGGGACATATATCAGGTTGCCAAAAGCTAGTCTTGAATGAAGGCTTCATTTTGAAATGGAAACTTCACTACTCTTGTGCCAAACCAGTAGCAGAAATTGGGGAAATTAATGTAACTGCTTTTGATAATTCAGCAGACATGAGAGATCTTGACGAATGGAAAATATTTGAGGGGATCCGTTGAACTGCCTGGGGCCTCACTTGTCATCTTGGGGAATCCATCAAAAAACATATCATTCAGCAAAAAAAGTGAAGCGCTGAGTTTTTCTGCGGAAATATACATTACAGACCTACGTGCTGGTCTTGCAGGAGATGGGCTTGTTCACACTTGAAATAGCCTGGATGATTCATGAAGAAATCCACAAGTACAAACAAATCCCTGGGAGAGTTTAAAACCCCAACATTACATGGAACAGTGAATTGTCTGAGATGCATTCGTAATGCTGATCCCTACTAATGCTAGGAGAAAGACCGAAAACTGCTTTGCCACTTAAAAAATGATTTGCCTATATTTAAACAGCCAATAAAGGGTATATGTTATGTTGGTACACATTTCAGTGTCTCCTTTACTGTGATATGTAGTACATCAGCACTGGATTAGTGCAATTGAGAATTTTATTTCAGGGAAATTTTAAAGAATTTCAGTAAATTTTACCATTGTGGTAAAATGCATTGAATCCCGGGGAAAAGGGGAAGCTCTGCTTGTCTGCCTGCCCCCCCTTCCTCCACTGCCACATTTGGCACTTTTTGGGTGCAAGGGGGAAGTGGATACCTGGTTTCAACAGGTACCCTCTCCCACTTTCGGCTCAGTTTTTTGTGGCAAACTGAGCCAGACATTCGGTCCCCTCCTTGCCCCGCAGTCTTCTGGGACACTTCACAGGTCCCAGAAGACTGCTGGACCAATCAGGAGGTGCAATATGACTCATGCAATGTGCAGTGGGCACCCGGCTGTGAAGCTGCAAGCCCACAGTTGAGATGCCGGCACCAGGGAGAGAAGAGGGAGAGAAAGGACGATGCGTGTGAGCACATTGCTGGATTCTGGGAAAGGTGAGTGTGTGTTTATTGAAAATAAGCAGCTACAGTTTTGTTCGTCCTGACTTAAACAGAAAAACAGCTGGAACTCTGCTTTAAGCTGAGTTTTTGTGGGTCAAAGATTGCAATAGGCTTTAAATTGCTCCTTTAGTTAATAGAAAATCTTTTGAACTATCTTGAACCTCTTCTTGTGCCAAAAAACAGCAATAAAGAACACAATATAACATGAAATAAACTAAAGTGTTCCTAATACACAAGCTAAAACACAAAGAAAAATGAAAAGAGGAAATTTCACCTAAATAGATTGATTCAAACAAAGTACTCCTGTCAGCGCTACAGGTGGAAGGGCCCTCAGTGTTATAGGTCTGAATAGTGGCCCAGAAACAGCTTCTCTTCTCTCTAGTGGAACCAGATATAGATCAATCAGCACAGGGAGTCTAGACATCACTTTGGACTGGGGAAATCCGAACTGAAACAAAAGCAAAAGAAGGTATGCCGGCCTTTGTGCATTTTCATAAAACATTCCAGTTCAGTCAAAACACTGTAATCACGTCCATCCACAGGGGCATAGATTATATGTTTAAAGGGCTGTGCCCTCTTCATCAGAGCTAATCTAACCCACCACACTGTAATCTATCAATTGATTCAAATTTGGATTTAAATGGCTCCAACAGTCTTTTTTAACTGTAGACAAATAATCATTTAAAATAGCAATAGCTAAATAAAGTATACCAATAATTAACATAACAAAATTTGGTTATGAGAGGAAGTCTTTGATGTCTGCTAGCCAAAAAAGCTTGAGTAAGATCCAGTCTCGTCCCTAGTCAAATCATACCAGCTTCGGGACAGCTCTAGAACTGATCATTTCTGACTTCCCCAAGAGAGCAGGCCTGACAGACCCCCAAAGACCCCTCAACCTGTTGTGACAATCCCGCATTATTCTGAATCTGTTGTCAGACAATAAACAATGGGACAACTTTCTTTGGAGAACGTTTTGGAATAAACTCCCAGAAGCCCCAACAGATCCATCTCTTATGGCTTCTCTGTGCAACATAACCCTAAACTTCCAATCAGGTCAGGCTGCTACACTGAGCACTTAATGCTTTCTTGGGGGCTGTTCCTCATCTCAGTTATGTAGCCCCTCCATGAATTTGTATTTTGCTAGGTCCATCTTTTCACAAATAAGAACATCTACACCCTCAAAAAAAAATGAATGTAACACTTTTTAATCAGAGTATAGCATCAAGTCAGTTAAACTCCTGGGATATTGATCTGGTCAGTTAAGTAGCAAAGGGGGTTGTTAATCAGTTTCAGCTGCTTTGGTGTTAATGAAATTAACAACAGGTGCACTAGAAGGGCAACAATGAGACGACCCCCCAAAACAAGAATGGTTTTACACTAACATTTTTTTCCCTACTCATCTTTTCTGACTGTTTTTCACTAGTTTTGCATTTGGCTAGGCTCAGTGTCACTACTGGTAGCATGAGGCGATACCTGGACCCTACAGGCAGTCCAACTCCTCCAGGATGGCACATCAATATGTGCCATTGCCAGAAGATTTGCTTTGTCTCCCAGCACAGTCTCAAGAGCATGGAGGAGATTCCTAGAGACAGGCAGTTCCTCTAGGAGAGCTGAACAGGGCCATAGAAGGTCCTTAACCCATCAGAGGAACCGGTATCTGCTCCTTTGTGCAAGCAGGAACAGGATGAGCACTGCCAGAGACCTCCAGCAGGCCACTGGTGTGAATGTCTGTGACCAAAAAATAAGAAACAGACTTCCTGAGGGTGGCCTGAGGGCCCGATGTCCTCTAGTGGGCCCTGTGCTCACTGCCCGGCACCATAGAGCTCGATTGGCATTTAACATTGAACACCAGAATTGGCAGGTCCACCACTGGTGCCCTGTGCTTTTCATAGATGAGAGCAGGTTCACCCTAAGCACATGTGACAGATGTGAAAGGGTCTGGAGAAGCCATGGAGAATGTTATCCTGCCTGTGACATCGTTCAGCATGACCGTTTTGGTGGTGGGTCAGTGATGGTCTGGGGAGGCATATCCATGGACGGACACAGAGGCCTCTACAGGCTAGACAATGGCACCCTGACTGCCATTAGGTATTGTGATGAAATCCTTGGATCCTTTGTCAGACCCTACACTGGTGCAGTTGGTTCTGGGTTCCTCCTGGTGCACAACAATGCCCGGTCTCATGTGGTTAGAGTATGCAGGCAGTTCCTGGAGAATGAAGGAATTGATACCATTGAATGGCCCACACGCTCGCCTGACCTAAATCTAATAGAACGCCTCTGAGATATCATGTTTCTGTCCATCCGACTCTGCCTGTCAGGGCTCCCGGGTGTGACCAGAGGTATGTGACTGACGCAAACCAAACCAAACCAAACCAAACCAAACCACCCACAGATAACAGTACATACAGTGCAAGCGTCGTCAGGCAGGCTGGGTCAATACAGGTACAGGTACAGGGGGAGCAAGCGGAGAATAGTCAGGTCACGAGCAGGGTACAGCAACTAACAGGCAGGTAGGTACAGGGGGTCAGGCAGAGAATGGTCGGGGTCACAAGCCAGGGATCAGAACAGGAGAAGTCAGCAGAGGTCAGAATCAAGCCGGGTCAGCAACAAGACAGGAACAGGATGCAGGATGCAGGTTTACAAGATACAGGGCCCAGGAAAAACACAACACCAAGGCAGAGTCTGCAGGTCTTAATGTCCCTTAAATACACCAGTATAATTAGTTCCAGGTGTTTGACTGGCTGCAAGGTTGAGTCTCTGATTGCTGGGAGCACCCGCTGGCCAGCCCTGGTACTGCAGCTCACAAGGCAGGTGAGTCCCACTATTGCTGGCCAGTCCATTCCTGACAGTACCCCCCCCCTCAAGGAGCGGCCTCAGGACGCTCCAAACAGTCCTAGCTGGGCAAAATGTTCCACCGCCCGGGTCTGGTAACTGGCGGGATATCAAAGACTGGCACACACCGGGCAGGACTCCGGGCAGGACTCCGGGCAGAGGCACACCGGGCAGAGGCACACCGGGCTGGACTCCGGACAGAGGCACACCGGGCTGGACTCCGGGCAGAGGCACATCGGGCTGGACTCCGGGCAGAGGCACATCGGGCTGGACTCCGGGCAGAGGCACATCGGATTAGCAGGTGAAGCAGCAGGCACGGGCCCCCAGGCGGGGAGCTAGGCATCGGGCCCCCAAGCGGAGCGGCGGGCGCTGGGACCCCAGGAGGGGCGACAGGCATCGGGCCCCCAGGAGGGGCGACAGGCATCGGGCCCCCAGGCGGGGCGACAGGCATCGGGCCCCCAGGCGGGGCGACAGGCATCGGGCCCCCAGGAGGGGCGATGGGCATCGGGCCCCCAGGAGGGGCGACGGGCATCGGGCCCCCAGGCGGGGCGACGGGCGCCGGGCCCCCAGGCGGAGCGGCGGGCGCCGGGCCCCCAGGCAGAGCGACAGGTCTCGGGCCCCCAGGCGGAGCGGCGGGCGCCGGACCCCCAGGCGGAGTGACAGGTCTCGGGCCCCCAGGCGGAGCGGCGAGCGCCGGACCCCCAGGCAGAGCGACAGGCCTCGGGCCCCCAGGCGGAGCGGCGGGCGCCGGACCCCCAGGCAGAGTGACAGGTCTCGGGCCCCCAGGCGGAGCGGCGGGCGCCGGACCCCCAGGCGGAGCGACAGGTCTCAGGCCCCCAGGCGGAGCGACAGGTTTCAGGCCCCCAGTCGGAGCGACAGGTCTCAGGCCCCCAGGCGGAGCGACAGGTCTCAGGCCCCCAGGCGGAGCGACAGGTCTCAGGCCCCCAGGCGGAGCGGCGGGCACCGAGTCACCAGGCACGACAGTGGGCTCCGAGTCAACTGGCAAGACTGCGGGCACCGAGTCAACTGGCAAGACTGCGGGCACCGAGCCAACTGGCGGAACAGCGGGCTTCGAGTCGTCTGGCAAGACCGCGGGCACCGAGTCGTCTGGCAAGACCGCGGGCACCGAGTCGTCTGGCGGAACAGCGGGCACCAAGTCAACTGGCGGAACAGCGGGCACCGAGTCAACTGGCGGAACAGCGGGCTTCGAGTCGTCTGGCAAGACTGCGGGCACCGAGTCGTCTGGCAAGACCGCGGGCACCGAGTCGTCTGGCAAGACTGCGGGCACCGAGTCAACTGGCGGAACAGCGGGCACCGAGTCAACTGGCGGAACAGCGGGCTTCGAGTCGTCTGGCAAGACTGCGGGCACCGAGTCGTCTGGCAAGACTGCGGGCACTGAGTCATCTGGCAAGACTGCGGGCACCGAGTCGTCTGGCAAGACTGCGGGCACCGAGTCGTCTGGCAAGACTGCGGGCATCGAGTCAACTGGCGGAACAGCGGGCACCGAGTCGTCTGGCAAGACTGCGGGCACCGAGTCGTCTGACAAGAGACTGCGGGCACCGAGTCGTCTGGCAAGACTGCGGGCACCGAATCACCAGGCACGACAGTGGGCTCTGACTCAATTGGCACAACAGCGGGCACCGGATCAGGTACCGGATCATCTGGATCAACAGCGGGCATCGAGTCAACTGGCCTACTAGGATCGTCAGGCTGGATCAGTTCATCATGCTGAGTAGCGGCATCAGGCTGAATGCAGGCATCAGGCTGAGTAGAGGCTTCAGGCTGAGTAGAGGCTTCAGGCTGAGTAGAGGCTTCAGGCTGAGTAGAGGCATCAGGCTGCGTAGAGGCATCAGGCTGAAGAGAGGCATCAGGCTGCGTACAGGCATCAGGTTGAGTAGAGGATGCAGGCTGAGTAGAGGCTTCAGGCTGAGTAGAGGCTTCAGGCTGAGTAGAGGCTTCAGGCTGAGTAGAGGCTTCAGGCTGAATAGAGGCATCAGGCTGAAGAGAGGCATCAGGCTGAGTAGAGGCATCAGGCTGAAGGGAGGCATCAGGCTGCGTACAGGCATCAGGCTGAGTAGAGGATTCAGGCTGAGTAGAGGCTTCAGGCTGAGTAGAGGCTTCAGGCTGAACCACGGAAGGCAGGTTCACCGGTTTGGATACTGGCAGGATGGTATTGGTTGGAAAGAATTTTCGCTTTTTTCTGGTTTTAACTACTGGAGCACTGCAAGTAAACGCAGGTCTGCAAATGAATGGAGCAGCTGGAGACAGAGAAGAGCTGGAGGATAGAACAGGGGAAGGAACAGTCGCTACAGAGGGCTTCTTTCAAGGGTTAAAGGCAGGATAGGTGCAGCGAGTGGGAGCAGAGGACTGACATGCGGTAGATAGCCAAGTATACTGGGCTGTAACTGGGGGAGTTGTTGGGAATACAGGAGTAGAGCTTTGAGGAAATAGATTAGAAGCAGGACTGGGTCTTTGTAAGCTGACTGAGGCTGGGTGTAACAAATCTGTCCATGTCTGCAGTATGGGTTGAACAAAGCTGAGCTTACACAAAGCCTGTCTGACCAAAGACTGCACTGCGTTTATACAATCTCTTAGTACCTGTGGTGAACATGTGGAATAACGCTCCAGAAAGTAACCCACATTATCCTCTAATGACCACACCAGGGACTCTACCTGGTCTGCACTAAATGGCGGCAAAAATTCATCCCTGCATTCGGGGGTACCAGAAGAAACCAACTCAGCACAAACCTTAATCAATGGCTGCACCTCAGAGAATTCTGTGCCCTGATCTACTAGAACATGAGCGAGCCGTATACATTCTAGCAGTTCATCCTGGGTATACTCCTTCAGAGTTTGATAAGCATACTCCCTGTCATCAAACACTAGCAGATATAAATACGCAACCTCATCCAGATCCATCCTTCCCATCAACAAACCAAGATGGCTTCCCTGTGCAGCCACTTCTGGTCAGGATTGGCCTTGGTGTAATGTCAGGGCTCCCGGGTGTGACCAGAGGTGTGTGACTGACGCAGGGAAATGCAGACTTCAGATATGTTATAAACAATATAATTTATTAACACTAACAATACAAACATAAACGCAGTGCAATACTAAAACATAACACAGTGCAAACAAACCAAACCAACCACCCACAGATAACAGTACATACAGTGCAAGCGTCGTCAGGCAGGCTGGGTCAATATAAATCGGGCAGGTAGGTACAGGGGGAGCAAGCGGAGAATAGTCAGGTCACGAGCAGGGTACAGCAACTAACAGGCAGGTAGGTACAGGGGGTCAGGCAGAGAATGGTCGGGGTCACAAGCCAGGGATCAGAACAGGAGAAGTCAGCAGAGGTCAGAATCAAGCCGGGTCAGCAACAAGACAGGAACAGGATGCAGGATGCAGGATGCAGGTTTACAAGATACAGGGCCCAGGAAAAACACAACACCAAGGCAGAGTCTGCAGGTCTGAATGTCCCTTAAATACACCAGTATAATTAGTTCCAGGTGTTTGACTGGCTGCAAGGTTGAGTCTCTGATTGCTGGGAGCACCCGCTGGCCAGCCCTGGTACTGCAGCTCACAAGGCAGGTGAGTCCCACTATTGCTGGCCAGTCCATTCCTGACACTGCCAGTCTGCACCTCAGACTGCCCATGAGCTCAGTGATGCCTTGGTCCAGATCTGGGAGGAAATACTCCAGGACACCATCTGTTTTCTCATTAGGAGCATGCCCTGACGTTGTCAGGCATGCATACAAGCACATGGGGGCCATACAAACTACTGAGTACCATTTTGGGGTGTATTTGAATTCAGTCCCCTGTATATTGATAATTATAATTTCCTCAAATAATGGGGCATTCTTATGTTCCTAACACATTACCCAGTCCATATCAGTATAGATATCCAGCATTATGTTTTTCCCCTTTGAGATCTGATGTGTTTTTGAAGTGTTCCTTTAATTTTTTTGAGCAGTGTATATTTATAGAAAGATCTTTTTGCAATCAGATCATGCACATCCAAATGCCATGTCTGAAGGTAGTTTTAGACTGAATCTTTAGAATTAAGTTGTACTGGTAAATGTCACCTGAAAAACGTAAGTCAGTAGTCATAAGTAAGCCACTGAGAAACTATCGGTAAAAAGGCTAAAATATCCAAATGTCTCAATGTTTAGTTATCATGACCTCAGATTTGTGATATGTGGGTTCATTTTTAAATAGCCCCAAACATGCACTGTTGTTTTAACACAGCGTTTATTGGGTTCTCTCTTATTTAATGTGCTAAAAATATTTTCTGTGCGTTTGAAAGATTCCTCTGTGTTCTAATATAGAAGGAGGCAGAGAAAATATGCAGTATATTCCACTGAGAAGAAGGTTTCTCTGTATTTATGCCTGCAAATCCAGTCTCAGTGTCTTCTAAGTCTCATGTGTTGCCCAGATGGGGGAAGAAAAGCAGCTTCTACTTCTTCACCCGTGTTAGCAATTTTGTCTTTACATGCTATGAAACAGTAGGAGATAAGATACTTAAGTCACATTGTGAGCAGTGGGTAATTATTTTTCATGCAAAATACATCAATGTTAAGAAAGAATTCTAGCATAAATATACCCTAACATATAGATAAAACAAACTCATTTTCTAGGCAATAGTGGTACTCTACTGGGCCTGGGTTGAGTGTCACCTCTGAAGATTAATTTCTTCAAGTAATATGGGATACTTCATGCATGTCTCTAATTACAAGCTATGATCATTAAGAAGAATAGGAATAAAATGCTGAGGTCTGAATTCCCTAACATACAAGCAGGTGCAGCAGCAGAGGTCCCACCAGGCCCCTTAGACCCAGCTGTAGTCCTCTCTATAGAAGTTCTGTTACAGCTCATTAGCTAACAAACATTTATTTCCTGTGAAAAAAAATTGACATGCAAAACTATGACTTCAAGGTTTAATCGTATGTTCAGGCAGTACCCACATTTAACCCCAGTCCTCATTCCTCGCTATACCATCTACCAGCATTAATTTTGTTCTTTTTGCCATGTCCCTATAGCAAAAAAAATACAGCTTTAGTAATGATTGTGACATCATCACCTCACCCTCAGAACTACATCGCCCAGTAGTCCTTTCTCTGCATACATTGAGGTTGATTTACTAAAGGAGCAGAGCATGTTAAATAGTTTTTCACTTAGCTCATTAATGAAGTAAAGCTAAGTGAAAATTAGCTTTGTAAATAATACCCAAGGAAAATGAAAAAAAAAAATTTAATGTAGGAGCTCATTGAATTTCTGGCAGATTAATCTGTATTTTTCTCTACTTGCAGAACTTTGAAGAGTTAAACACGTGGAAATGTGCATATATTGGAAAGATGTACCAAACAGCTTTTTCTTTATTTTGTCCAGAAATACACTTTAACTCCACTCCGAGTTCAGTGAGATGAGTGATGTAAACAGGGTAGATATCAAATAACAGCAAACACAAATGCTCCTGCGCTTGGGGATGGACTCGATCCAGGCTACAAACACATTAAGAATGTCCTGGAACATGCACACCTTGCTGCCCTCAAATGGACCGGGGGAATCCAAATATACTGAATGGGGAAAGAACAAAGAGAGGGCACACAGGCCTAGTGCATTACCATAAAAAATGTTTAATAAAAAATAAAGTAGGTGTTGTACTCACAAACGACAATATAGTCAAGGCACATCATAAAGAACAGCTGGGTCAACACCGCGCTGAGTAACAGTCCGCAATAGGGAGTTTAGACATCCAAAAGC